TTTTTTATAAATTCTTTATGTCATAAAATTACTTTTTTTATATCATGACACTTTATCTTTTTTGTTTTTGAAAAATAAAGATTTATTTCCATTTATATATTATTATTAAGTTATTAAATAAATTAAGAAATGAATTATTTAAAAGATTTCGCAACTTATTTTGTTATTTAACTATAAAAATTAACTTTATTTAAAATAAAGAACTTAAGCTATAAGAGATTTTCCTTAATATGTAACTGTTCCTGTCTATAGAATGACGTTCCGATTTTAGCCACACAATCTTTTACTTCAGTTTTATAAAAGAATTTATTTTTGTTAACTTTTGTAATTTCCTACATGTACAATATAAACACCCAACCTCTCCCTGACGCTAGAACGGAAGCCGTGTGAAGCCAATAATTTGGGAAGTGTTTGTGAAGCCATGTGAAGTTTTGTGGTCCTATACTAGGAAACTTTAAGCAAATTTCTTCCGAGTTGAAATCCGAATCCGTGTATCGTTACGATTTGCAGTCTTAGCTTTTTTTTTCTTGAATTTTTCAAATTTTAGATATTAAACAATTTGAAAGGCTAAGAGATTCCTTTTACTAGTCATTAATTTTTAAATTTAAGAATGATTAAATATTAAATTAGAGCATCGCATAAAATATAGATTTCATTTAATTTAAACTTAAATTAGTTTTATCAACAAAATGAGATATTTGTTTTATAGCAATAATTTTTCAAAACCATAGTGATATTTAAATAGTTGTCTGTGATTTCCTAACACCCATCTATAAATATTACATGCATCAATGCATAAAATTGATACAAGTCCTCATAAATGTTTATAAACATGAACAACCTTTACAAAAAAAGTTCACAAGAGTCCATAGCAACTTGTCACTATATATTTGACGCAAATCATTAGCATTTTAAAAATATAAAAATATTTTTTGGTCCTTCACGAAGTCTCTATAAAATTTTATAATACCAAAAATTGTATAAAATAAAATGATAAAAATAATTTTGCATTTTAATGAAACTCGATGGCTCGTGTAAGCTTCAAAATCTTTAAAATTTTATAACTTAAATATCATTCACATTAAATATTACGTCATTTTCAATACAATCTTTTTCTTAGCATCTTCATTCATCATTAGATCTTTTTTAAAACTTGGATTAAAGATGATATTTCTAGGCGAAAAAAGTAAAATAGATTCTTTTCTAAATTTTGTCTATATTAGTCCTTTATTATTTTTTAAAGAAAATCGACAAAAACCAAACAATATGTTTCACAAACTAATGATTTATAAAATATTTTGTTCCAACAAAAATTATTAAAAGCCTAAAACTATAAGAATGTTAAAATTTTTGTGATTACAAACATCAAATTTGAACCCTTTATCCTTTAAAATTGGCATAGACGACAGTTTCTAACTTCTACTAGAACTTGTGTGAGCACTTTCGATTTCATATAATAATCATTTATAACACGTTTCCTTATGTCATCTTCTTGGTATAACCTGATTTTTTTTTTTGGAAATTTAAGATTTCAAGTTCCACGAGTTTTGTTTTTTTTTTTGAAAATTTTACTCATGTGCGACAAGTGTCTGGTATAGAGCTAAAATGAAATTGAAAACAAAGTACAAAGAGAGTCAATGACGTCAAAAACTACAGTTTAATTTTTTTTGGTAAAAACTAGTAAATCGTGACCAGCTTAAGAATAAGTAAGCTAACCCAGACAAAAACAATCTATTTATTTTGGATAATATTTAAATATTCATACAATGCAACTTTGCTCTCTCGCTATAGGGATCGGGATATCCCGGGAAATGCTCCCTGGAACCCGAAAAATTTTTTTTCGCTTTTGATGTAAAAAAAAAAAAAATTTTGAACCTTCTTAAAATCTTCAAAAATTGCCTAAAACAAGATTTTTTCAGGAACTCACAAATAAACCCGTTTATATCAAGGAAAAACTCTGTTCTTGCAATGAGTTATTTTAGTTTATCTGAATAATTTGTAAAATAAAATGAATCCTACAAAAGTGTAGAGTTCCAATTCATCATTTCTGTTTAAAAAGAACTGAATTCAACAAAAATTATATTGGCTTTCCATAAGTCACAGCTAGAGTTTGTGGAAAACAGCTGTTTTTGAAAAACAGTCTGTTTTCGGTTTTTGATTTTTGAAAATAGCTGTCTTCCTGTTTTTCCAGAATTAAAAATAAACTGAATAAACCTATGTGCTTCTCTAAGATAATGATTTTTTTGGAGGTTATAAGCAGTTACATGCATACATTATAAAGATAAGCATTATTATTTCTTAATTTTTCGTTAATTAACTCTAAAAATATAAGTTAATATAAAAATGCGAAAAAAAAAAATATTTATACTTTTATGTAACATCATTAAGTGAAATGGATATTCTGAACCATTTCATTCTCGATCCTGATCCCAAAACTTTTTTTGTACCGTGATTTCGTGAATTAACTCTAAAAATATAAGTTAATATAAAAATGCGAAAAAAAAAATATTTATACTTTTATGTAACATCATTAAGTGAAATGGATATTCTGAACCATTTCATTCTCGATCCTGATCCCAAAACTTTTTCTGTACCGTGATTTCGTGAAATCACAAATGCTACTGTAAATGTTCTTTTCATTTTGATTCACTTTTTGTTTTAATTTCCTTTATTTTTGTTGCCCCCCTCTATACTTTAAAAAAAATACCTGGATGAGCTTTTGTAACAAAGTAACTCGATTTATATAAGTTTTATGTTGAAAATTATTTGTCATTTTTTCTGGAGAAGAAAACAAATGAGCAGGGGCTTGTCTAGTCTGGTAACCAACTTTGAATCAAACATTTGTTAATTAAGTTTAATATTTTTTTTTCAAGTCTTTTGTATTCATATATTTCCATCACACAGACTAATAATATCGATGCCATCTAATATATACAATAATTTTCTTGTGACATTGACAAAAAAAATCACAAACATTTTATACATAGTATAATTTTGAGACAATCTGAAATAAAATAATGTGTTAACACAGATGAGTTCATAATTTAGCATCTCGTGAAGGCGAAATAAGTTTTATTGAGTTTAAACATAAGACGATCTTATAAAACTGATCAAAAACAGCTTTTGCGTTTTATGTTATTTACTTCATATACGGATTTTTGTTTCAAGTTTTTTTGATAAAATATTCGATTTTTGATCCTAATATGTACACTTTTGTGCCGTTTCTAAATGATCTTGTTGCTTCTGACTGATGAAAAAATTTGAATAGTAAGGCTTTTTCAAAAATTCGAAAATTCGAAAAATCAAAAAATTCAACAAAGAAAATATTAATTTTTGTAAAATTTGATTCATGTTTATAAAATTTATTAACGTTTATACTAGAAAAAATAATCTGTTACAATAATTTTAAACATCCACATACTTTTAACCTCATTTTCTATATGCCTAGAACTCAACTATGTGCAGATGTGATATTGCGTATACACGTTCTCAGCACATCTTACAAGAATAAACTGCAGCAAAATTTTAAATGAAAATTTAAATGATGTTTAAAATCCAGCACAAATTCACTTTGTCATGTAAAAATACACTAATAACATTCGGAAATAACGGTCATTTTTTAAAAAAGAACAAATTTTAAATTTTTATATACTCTATTCTTTAAATATCGTCAACAGCCCACCCCCCCCCCCCCCCAACCCACACTCGAACGTAATAAGTGAACGGTCCCTTAGTAGGATTTGTTGAAAACTTCACTCGTGGTAGTTTCATTCCTTATTTCTATTTTACAGCTTCTAGCTAAGCTTCAAGTGTATTATTTTGTATTGAATATATGCATAAAAAGAAACAATTTCGAGGAAGTAAATGAGCGTTTGTTGTCTGCAATTAGATCGTAAGAAATTACTTTCTGCGTTATGTATATAATAGCGATGAATTACATGGAATAATATTAAATAAAAAAATGCATTACACTGTGCAAAACGTTGCAGCATATATACTGCATAAAGAATTTAATTACCGTTATTTTGTGTACACAGGAAATTCTCAATAATAACTCAATGAAAAAAAAAATACAAATCAGGACAAATAAATAAAATATTCTCATTATTATTTGAGTTAATATCCTAATTTTAATTAAGTTTTTTTTTGCAAAATTGTTACAGTGTTCACAATTAATAATAAAATTCTTTTTCTTCTTTTTTTTTGTTTCTTTCCAGGTTCAAAATTTGGTACAAAACATAAAATTAAGAATATGTAAGAGTAAAACAAAAAAAAAAGAAAAATCTGAAAAAAATAATAGTAAAAATATTCAACATTTATGTGGATTAATGTAAATACCATATAGTGCTTTAAAATATGAAAAAAAAAAATAATTGAACGACATCGATAATAATAAATATTTATGAATATGGCAGCCATATGATATTTGTGTGCAGAGTATAATTACAATAACTATAAATAATAATAACAATAAATAATTTTTAGTGTTGCCACAAGTGTCGCGATCGCGCAGAAAAAATAAGGATATTTATAGTGCCATAATAACAAAAAAGGTATCGAAAAATTGCAGCAATATCAAGCATATGTGAAGTATAAAAATATAACAAGATTTATACAAGAGAAGAAAGTGTTTAGCAAGACAAATTCACTGATCATTGTATCATAAATTCTATAGTGCTGTTTACAATTTTATATTATTTTTAATTTCATACCAACAGTGTGTACGTTTGTGTGTATTTTATAAAATGCATTCATAAGCTGAATACTGCAGTAACTTAACTGTCAGATAACTGTATCTCATTAAAATAGAATTTAATAATATTATAAACTTTGTTTTAAAAATTTAATGCAATTGAATTTATAATATTTTTTAACTACTACGGTCAGATTTTTTTAAAACTTTTTTACTGTTCTATTATCAGTAAAACAATGATATAAAATGATAGTATAATAATACAAAAAAAAATAAAATTAAAGTGCAATACGTTTTCCATTGAATCATGGAATCGCAAAAAGATTTTAGAAACGAAGCTTAAATAAATAGATAAAATATAACTGTCCCTCTAGTAATAAATAAAAGTGAGCAAGATTTTTATGTAATAAAAATATAAAATGAATTTATCTATACAGAGATGAAGTGCAGATAAGCTAGCTTACATGCAATGATTTTATGTACTAAAAACGAAGAAAAAAAGAAAGCACGCTTGTGGATTTTTATAAACTAAGAATAAATATAAAAAAAAAATATTAATATTTCGCATTTGAGATAATAAAAAATGGCGGCATCTGAAAACAACCAGCAAATTCAACTTTCTGATCACAAAGCAGCTCCATCAAGTCCACCAGAATTAGCAACCATGACAAATGTTGTTAATGTTCTTGATTTACATAAAAATGATTTTTCTAATGAAACGAAGATTTATGATAAAAATACAAATACCGTTTATGTCTACAGCAACGCTCCACCGTCGTCATCAAAGATTGATGAAGCAATAGTAATGTCAGTTCCCTCACCTGAATCAGCAGTAATGCATCATGTACATCATCAACAATCTCTTACATCGGAAAATCAACAAATGCATCATCATGTGGTAATTAATCAACATCCATCGGACTTATCAATTGATAATTCACTTAAAGATGAACATTTTGAGTTGATGCAAGAATCGAATGGTGTTATGCTACAACGTATTGTGAACGATCATCTTACTGATGGAAGGTTGGTGCATCATACAATTTGTGATGTTCGTAATAGTCCAAATATAAACGGAAGTGAGCATCAAGTTTTTTCAAAAATAAACGCTGGTGATGAATCATTATTTAGACTTATTGAGAGTAATCATCTTGTTTCAAAACTTGTTGGTGAAAATCAACAAATTGTCAGTAGAGATGTTATCAATGGCGAGCATCATATCATTACACGTAATGAAAATGGTGAACATATTCTAACACGCATTGTTAATACTGCTGTAGACCAACATGGTAAAATGATAAATGGTGAAGTTTTCAATACTCTAGTAAACACAAACATCAACTCATCAAAGAACACCGATGAAACAAAAAGTACAACTCAAATAATATATACATCTAATGACGGGGGTGTAATAAAGACTTCACAACCTTATGATCATACCAATAATGTAGATTCTCAAAAACATATAGACTTAATATATGAAGATGAAAATAAAACAGTCATTTATACATCATCTTCATCGAATAATGCTGAAACATCAAATCCCGACTCTCCAAGTGAATCAAAAAGTCTTGAGTTATTTTCAGCTAATGGAGAATGTGTTAACGGTGGACAAGTTATTGTACAAGGAAACCTTCAATACACTCCACAAATTCAACCCGATGGAACTACAGTTTATGTTGTATCAGAAATAGTTGGTAGCGAAATGAATGCACAAAGGTGAGTTAATCCTAATTTCCCTTCTTTAATACACGTTTTTAGAAAATTTGAGTCCAATTTTTCATACGGTATCAAAGTGTTTACTTTGAGCTCTGATATGTAATTTAAAATATAATAAAAATTCAAAATTTGTTTGAAATATTTTGCACGATTTTGAAGCCATTTCAAACAGAGTTTACTTAAAGAACAAAAAAATATTGTTTACTTTAATTTTTATCTTAAAATAAATTATTATAACTAAATTTAATTATTATATATTTATTTGAAGCTAATCTTTGCAAGAATTTTAATTCATTGATTCTTTTCAATTTTAAATCTTTAAGTGCTGAGTCCGTATTATCTGGCAGAATCTATGGATTTCCATGGAATTCCATGGATTTAAAGTACAAGGATTTCCATAAATTAAAACAATTTTGACCCCCAAATTTGTGGGAGCTAGACATTTGCACCGAAAAATGATAAGTCCATAACACTAGAGGATAAAAAATCAGAAAAATGAAAAATCACGAAGGGACAATGAGGTCACTTATAAAATTTTAAGTTTTTTTTTGAAGTTTTCAAAATTTGGAAAACATGCGGCAAAAAGTCAAGAAAATCCAAGAGAGGGAATACAAAAATATATATTATGTTAAAGAGACAATTAATTGATACATTGTTTGAAGTTTAAACATTATTTAAGATAGAGGATTAAGAAAAGTAAAGTTTAAGGCTAAATTTTACACTGGAAGTCAAATTTACCACAAATTAGTCAATATTCACACGAAAGTTGAAAGTTGTATAGATTTTTCCCTTTTTGAATTAATTTTTGAAAAATTGATGCAAAAAGATTGTTACGGCTGAAACAAAATCTAGTAAAATTGCTGAAAATTACACAGCTCAATTCAAAAATTGAAAAATCTTAAAAAGCATTTATATGGAAAACTTAATCAAGTTGATACTTATATTTTATAAAAAAAACTTCTAGTAAAAAGTATTAAAAAGTGAATTTACCCGCATCAAAAATAGTTTAAATTCGACAATTTTATGAAAAACAATTAAAAATGCTAAAACTTTTTTTTACATGATCAATATTTTTTTGCAAAATTAAGAATGTTTTGCACAAAAAAACAATAAATTCACTCACTGTGAGGTAATAAATCCACTCAAGTTTTGAAGTGATCTTATTGCCTCAGTGAGATATTAAAGACGATTCCAAAAAATGTTGCGAATTTATTAACTTCAAGTGAGGACAAAAATCTCTTATACAAATGATTTTATCCAAGTGGACTTATCGTCTTGCAGTGAAAATATTAAGACCACTTATAAGTGGCCTTATTGTCCCTTCGTGATTTTTCGTTTGGTTGTGGTTTCGTTGTGGACTTATCATTTTTCGGTGCAAATGTCTAGCCCCCACAAATTTGTGGGTCAAAATTGTTTTAATTTATGGAAATCCTTGTACTTTAAAAATTTTTATGATCTATGGATCGTTTGTTAAAGTCCATGGAAATCCATAGATTCTGCCAGATGATCCGGACTCTTTAGATGGAATAAACAGTTTTAAATGTTAAAATTTTTTTTAAAGGAATTCCTCAAAATAATATTTTATATAATTCCGCGTAATTACGCTAAATTCCGTATAATTATGTTATAAAACTTGCGAATCGCAAAAATTAATCAATTCAGTTTTTTCCCCGTAATTTATTTGAACTCGACATAATTATGCATAATTCTGTAGAATTCCTTAACTTCTTTATGAAAAAAGTTCCGTATAATTCTGCAGAATTGCGCACAAATAATTCCGCGTAATTACGTCTACGATTTGCACTACACCCCTCTAAGAATATATAAGGAAGCCCCCTTTCAAAACCAAAAAATTAATAAATTCTGCTAACCATAAAAGTTTCTGAGTGGAGTCACTACACTGCAGTTGTCGGGTTATATTATTTTAATTCTTTAAATAATTAATGTCGTAGGGAAAGTGAGAAAGAATAATAATATTTGGCAAATGATGTCTAAATTTATGACAATCGAATGAATGGAAATGAAGCTCATAGTCTTCGTTTGTATGCTAAACTTACTTACTCTTTCATTAAATTAATAACTGAATAAGTAAATAATAATAATAATAATAATACTTACTGTAGTCATGTTCTTATGTGGAGCTTAGGTTTAAGCAAAAGGCTTTCCATCTGACTCTGCTGCTAGCTTTGCCACCTTGTTTGTAAAAATTGTCTGTCCGCACATAAAAAAGGAGTTTCTGCTAAAGACTAGGTCCACACATTTGTAATTAAAAAAAAAAATTGTTCGGATCCCAATCATTATTAGCCGTGTCAATCAAGTAGAACGGTGACCTAACGATTTAAGTGATGTACGATATATGGGTTTTTTGTGAATGTAGAAAAATAACTTTTACAAATTTTGTGAAGTTGCCAGTTCCGAGATATGAGCATTTGAAAATAGACCTAGGGCCGATTTTTTGGCCGGTAATTTGTGCAAATGTTTGAACAGTGCCTAGTTCAAAATTAGCTACTTTTTTACACTTTCAACTGTAAATCTGACAAGGCTAGACAAAAATTCTTCGAACTTGGTCAGTAATTTGTGCAAATGTTCCTTAATCAAATATAATAAACAAAAAAAAAAATTTATCTAGCATTACTGCAAAGATGTGGTGATTCTTATCTTTGAATTATTTGATTAACTTTTGTAAAGTCTAAGTATGAAAAAAATCAATTTAAAGAAAATTTTATAGCAAAATTATAGCATGGAGTTACCCTTAAACTTAATAAACTTATGCAAAAAAAATGCAAACGTCAATTTTTGCTTTACGTGATAAAATCTTAAATCAGTCTTAAGAAGAAAAAAATTATAATCGGCCTGTTTCACTAAGGTGGATTATCCACCGATCGGATTATCCACTTATTCAAAAAGGATAATCCATAAATTTTTTTACTGCGTTAAACTGCACAGATTATCCTAGTAGGTGGATTATCCGAAGATTATCCTGAGATTATCCTAGGATTATTCATATAATTAATCTAAAATGTTAAAACTGGGCCCCACCAAGATTAAAAATTCGGATAATCTTCAGGATTATCCTAGGATAATCCAAATACTAAAATTTTTTTTCGCTATATTTAATACACAAGAAAAAGTATTTTTCTCAAACTGTTCTGATTATTATTAACCAATTAATTCTAAAACAGAAAAAAATTATTTGGATTTTCCGCACATCGAAGAAATAGATAATCCAAAAATGAGGATAATCCAACTTAGTGAAAAAGGCTGAATGATTTTCATAATCAAAAATAATGATGTTTTCCACCATAGATTTTTATATTCACACTGTTTTCACGTGTGAATCTAGTGGTTTTGTTCAGATTGAAAAATCAGTTTTTCGCATTTTGTGAGAAAACGAAGCAAAATTGGTTATAAAAGGTCCCAGAAGAAAAGTTTGTGCCTGAAGTTTTACATCATTTAAAAAAAACAGATTTCAAATTGGTTGCGGCATTGCTAAGAAAATCGCAAAATACGCTTTCTGTAAGCAAACAAGCAAGCAAGTTATTTTTACTTATGTTTCAGTACACTTACTACACAATGTATCACAATCACTGCAATTACTAAAATTTACTGCACCTAACTCGTCTTTACTCCTCTTTTCTATACTTAAGTACACTAACCTATACTTTACTACACTTTTCTTTACTTTATTATACTTTAGTATACTTTACCACACTAAGCTTAAATTTACCACACTTTACTACACTTTAGTGCACTTTAATCCTACTTTTCTATACGTTATTTTTAATCAAATTAACTAGTGTATAATTTCAATCGAAATAGTTAAAGGTCTCTTAATAAGTTATACTCATACTTTCAAAAAAAAATAAAAGATTTTGCAATCATTTTAAAAATTTAAAAGAAAATGTTTAAAAACTTAACTAAAGGTTATAGAATTTAAAATATTATTTTTTTATTTGTTTATTATTCTATCATTTTAAACCAAATTTAGCCGATGGAAAATAAAGAGCTTACAAAAACATAAAGCACTAATGCTGCTAAGACAGAAATAATTTCATTCATGTCAAAGAAATTTCTAATTAATACCTTAAGTTTGTAAGGAAATTTGTCAAAAAAAAAATAAAAGTATAGTATAGAAAAATTGAAAAATTTAAAAAAAACCTAAAATGTTGTACTTTTTTGTTTTTAAAAATGAGTATTTTTGATTGAAAACTTTATTTTAAAATTCAGAAGAAATGTTTTTTAACAATTATTAAAAAATTTGAAAAATTTTGCTTTAGCTTGAAGAATGTCTTCTCGAATTGACTCGAATTCGATTTTTTCACGCAACCTTACATTAAAAACTAATAAGGACAATTAGTATTAAGTTTAAATTTTTAAAAAAGCTTTAAAAACAAGCTTGATATAAATTAGTTTCAATTTATTGGCATTTCAAAATTGAATGAAGGGACTGTAGAAAAAGAATATTTTAAATTTATTTTATAATATGCTAGTTTTTTATTTCAACAAGATTAAGTTTCCAACAAACTTTCAGAAAATAAATATCAAAAATGTTGATAACATTTCATTTTCCCTAAAACCAACAATATCAAAAACATTGATTCTCACACTCATAGAAAAAATATTACAACTTGTATGGTTTTGGAAAAAACCAAATATCGAAAATTTGAAATTTCATACAAATCAAATATTTGAATATTTGATTTTTTTTAAAACCATACAATTATTTCTATTGTGTGAACTTTTCTTTCGTTACTGTTCTTCGAAATTTGGAAGACATCCTTAATGTTGAAATATTTGAATTTACTTAAACAGTTTTATTTTTTATATTCACACCGTTTTCACGTGTGAATCTATTGGTTTTGTTCAGATTGAAAAATCAGTTTTTCGCATTTTGTGAGAAAACAAAGCAAAATTGGTTAGAAAAGGTCAAGAAGAAAAGTTTGTGCCTGAAATTTTACATCATTTTCAAAAAACAGATTTCAAATTGGTTGTGGCATTGC